AAACTGGATATATCATTTAGAAAAGCATCTCGGTTCCAAAGTATAATAGCAGTTGAGAAACCACCATAATTCCAGTATATGTGCTATCACAGATGGAAATGTGTGTATGCATGAATATAATAAGCTTAATGTAAATATTATTTTTAGTGACAGTGTACTGGATTATCTTTTTACCCAAAGAGCAGTGTGGTATTGTAGGAAAAGATTGACACTTCATTTTAAATAAGGATTTTTTCTAAAGCAGTTAGAATATAGTATAGTTTATTTCTAGTGAGCACAGTTTGAGTTATGAATAAAGCATTTACCTCTTTATCGTGTGGTATTCACGTGTTTGCAAATTTATAAATTACCCACACTAAAGAGAGTTCTGTACTTGACTCACTGTAATGAATCTATGGAGGAGCAGGGTAGTCACTCTAGGATGCTGAACTAATTTGGACTACAAATGTTTCCTGCTCTGCATCTCCATAACATAGGGAGAATTGGTTGTGTAGTTCATTGATGATAACCTAGAAAGCTAATAAAATTGTTGAGTTTTCAGTTCAGTAAAGTTCCAAGGATATGGAATTTCCATCAACAGCAAGTATTTTTCTGTGCTTGTGCTTGGTATACAAAATGAACACTATGTCAGCCACCACATCTGAAGATAGGTAAGCTGTAATACACTACTGGTCAAAAAAATTAGAACACCCCAATTTTTCCATTGTTTTTATTGTAATTTACACAGTTTAATGTCTCAATGTACTCTAAAAAGAAAACATAGAACAAATAAACAATTAGACATCATGGAATTGTCTTCTTTTCCAAAATATAATCTAAATTTTTTAACTCATCAAAGTAGCCATCTTTTGCAGATACCAAAGCTAAACACACATGGAATTCTTTCTCCAATGGAAATCACATATTGACTTGTCAGTCCATAAGACCTTCTTCCAGTCTTCAGTAGAAAAGTGGCAGTGCTTCATGGCCCAGACAAGCCTCTTTTTTATTTTGTCATCTTAGCAATGGCTTTCTTACAGCCACTTGGTCTGTCAAACATGCAGCTCAACGTCTTCTCTTCACATCTGCAACTGAGACTTGCTTATTTCCATCTGTTAAGCTGTGCTTGAAGATGTTGTGGCTTAGGGTCTGCTAGATCTTCTTCTGTCAGAGTCTCTTTCATTTTCCAAGTGCCTTTTGATGATGTAGGAAACTGTACTCACTAAACACCTTGATAATGTCTCTAAAGGAAAGTCCTACATTATTAAGGGTTATAATAGTCTACCTTGTCACAATCTTGTCACAATCTTGGCGTCAGACCCCAGCCCTTCTCACCAAACTCGTGACCGAAGGACTAGCCGATCTAAAACCACGATGTCACGTACGTAACAATGCCACACCCAGCTGCACCCTGCACAATGATTTTCCAGCTAATTGGACCACAATCGATGTACCTGCAGCCTGAGCAATTGTTACTGGGTCAGATTAATTACGCAATTAACCCTTCACACTGCCACCACCTCCTTTTTGTCCAGAGAAAGAGGAAACTTTGCGATATCTGCAATAACACTATAATGGTTGAGGTAATCGTCTGCATAATACGGTCACCGCAGGCCGATTATGCAGAGGGTTAAGCAAACACAGTAGCGTTCTCTTAAGAAGCAGGAATTTTGTAAATTGCAATAAAGCACTATAGAAACAGTTCAACACTTTCAGAAGGAAAGGTTTATTACTAAAGGTCAAACGGGTGCAATAACAATATTTACAGAAAAAGTTGTAACTAAGATATATATATATAAATATACAGAGACTAACAGCACAGCAAAGAGATATCAGAGAGAGGTTAAAGGGTTAAGGTACTTGCCCAAGTCCTGGGTTAGCAGATCCAAGTTTCAGAGCAAAAGGGCACGGGTCTCCCCAGGTGGTACTAATGTTAAAATGGGAGACGTGTTCAACTTACTCTTCTTAGGCTTGACAGCCTATTTTGTAGTTCCCCAGCAGGGGGTGTCTCTGAAGTCAAGGACCAATACCCCGTTTAGGGCGTGTAGGTATGGGCGGATACCTCAACTAGAGCCAAAATCTCTCATACCTCATATTTTGGCCCATAACTTTCCATCTGCACAAGTGACATTCCACCCGCGGGTAGATTATTAGGCAGACACGTCTGAGGATTGATTAGATATGAAATTATACACTGAACAGTTCACGAGATCTATTTTTCAGCTTTCCTATGTATTCGAGACAAGGCGAGTGACCTACCAAACTGTTCTCCTTCTCGTTGCCAATCTGACGATATGTCCGGTTTTTATGTAAGTCTCTCATATTAATAAGATATGAGACATAGGGGGAAAATGGATTCTAACAAAGGTTATCTGGTCGTGTTTCCTGGGAATGTTCTTTGAACTCCAGGGAAAGCTTGCCTTATCTTGTACAAGGTGTTACATTTTACAGGTTCTTCAGACAGCTAGGCCCCAGCTCCCTTGGGGACTTTTTAGCTCCTAGCCCCCTGCTGGGCCCTGGCCTCCTGTGACACTCCTACACACATACACATTGGCCAAATGTCGCTGGGACTCTCAGAAAGGGAGAGGGAGAATGAGGGGGAAATATGTTTGTCAGGATGGTTAACCCCTTTGCCAAGATGGAGGTTGAAGCCAAAATGGTTGAACCGTGTCCATCTCTGGGTATACGCTGTTACATACCTGTCTTCCTTTTTTTTATTTACTTTTTCTGGCCATTTTGAGAGCAATACACTACTGCCTGCTGTATAATACTGTCCAAATATTGCAGAGAGCGTGTAATAACACAGTCTGCTCCAACATTGCTTTTTATACAGACCGAAAGCTTGTAAGTAGTCAACAAAAGTTGGAACACCTGCAGGAATCGGTAATATAAACTTTCAAGGCTTACACCCTGGTCACATGGGGTGCGATTTGGCATGCGATTTGCATGCCCTGTGACGTGCAAATCGTATGCCAAGTTGCACCCTATTATCAGCTATTAGAGCAGTCATGTCGGTGAGGATTCAGACTTGGTTGGAGCCACACCGATTTCTAAAGTAGTGCATGCACTATTTTTGGTGCAATTTGCATAGGCATCTGTGTCAGATGTCTTGCAAATCACAACTGAAATCGGCAGGTCACCAGATTTTGAAATCGCTGTAAGTCGCACAATTTCAAAATCGGCTTTGATGTGACCGGGGGCTCAAACTTTTTCTAAACCCACACCAGTAAAATCAGTCTGCATATGCAGTAAACCATGCTTGTTACACTTACTGTAGACCCTAAGGGTGTGTCCCCAATCCATCTGCTGACAGTACACAGAGCTTTAGGAGTTACTTTGCACATACTCAATTTGGTGTGTATTGCTAGAGAGATTTCTTTTCTTTTGAAGGGTGCATGTGAACAGCACAGTGCCAATCAGCACTGTTCAGACAGAGGGTCAGGGGTCCTGCAGCCTCATAGGAGAGAATTAAAACTCCTCCTACAAGCTTTAACCAGTGCTCTGCTGGACACATAGAAGGCACAAAATTGCTATACACTGCTGAGAAGAAAAGGTATTTAGCAGTTTATATTTACTAAAATAATTGCATTTCTATGTTCTGTGTACTATGGAAAATCAGATATAGTGAATGCAGGGTCCTGGGTTTAGTAACACTTAATTCACCTACATTGCTGCAGAACAACTGTGAGCTGTTAACCCATTACTTTTTCCTGAAAAGGCCTTTTTGTACAACTCTGAAATGTACATTATTTTTTCAGTTTGCGTTCACTTAAACTTCTTTTTTCATCTATGGCAATTAACAGCTTACTTTTGTACCATTTCAGGTTATTCACTGAACTTAACATGTTTACATTTTAATAAAAATCTGGAAAAACGGGGGATGACCAGTAGTGTATATTGCTTTTTGTTCTTGGGTTTAGATATACTTTTAACTGTTTAGAGGAGATTTGTGCAACAAAGGGAGAACATTGTTTATACTGTCAATATGTTGTCTATTACATTTTCTTTGCAGTTGTTTGTAAATATAATGGCCAGCTTCATAGAGAAATAATTGAAGTTTCTGGACCTAAAACAGATTTTTTTTTTTCTTTGATTTAATGCTTTTCAATTTCATGACCTGTGAGATAATCCCTCTATCATTCTTATTAGTGGATTTAAGCAAGCAGACATCCAGACATCAAACACACTGCAATAGGTCACAAGGTTTATTGAGAATATAGATAATCATCTGAATTACATTTCTGGGTGTGATGGTCAGACAGCTTTAGTAACAAACACTCTCCAGGCTTTCACCATGAATTAGTAACGGTTAAGCAACTCCTGCGTTTTACCTCCTCAAAATACTGTTGTAAGAAATATAAGAAGCACCAGAAGTGAAAACATGAATAACAAAAGAGCTTGGTCTGTCTGTACATACACTTCATATTTCCTTTTGGCCAGATAGGCTCATTGAATTTGTATTTAATGATCTGTAACTGCATTTTCGCAAAGCTGTACAAGTGACTACTTCTCAAAATGTTCCTAAGATGCGTCTAAGAATTTCCCCGATCTCCAAAGGTTTAAAGTATTGTTTTAAGTCACCTTTAGCTTATGAACCATACCCTCCTTTTCTCAAATTTTTAATCCCACAACTGTAAGATTCTGCAAGTATGGTGTTCGGTAGTTATCAGAAGGTTTAGAACAGTGCTTCTTGAGGTTGTTGCCTTGTTGACTAGCTAAAGGTTAAGCACTCTATTTTTGATGTAGCTTTGTAAATACCGTATTTTTTGCTCCATAAGACGCACTTTTTTCCCCCCAAAAAAAGGGGGGAAAATGTCAGTGCATCTTATGGAGCGAATGTAAAGCGGCCGGTCCGGTATTTCTGCTGCCACCATGTCAGAATACCGGGCTGGCCGCTCAGCTGTTCTCTCCTGCAGGACCTTACCTGTTCCTCGCTCAAGCGCTGCAGTCTTCCTGCGGCGGCTTCTGTGACAGCTGGGTGCCCACTGCGCATGCGCGAGAAGCGCCGCACTTTGTGAATGGTCCGGTGTCTTCTGGGATACATGACAGGTCCCAGAAGGCTCCAGGCCATTCACAAAGTGCAGCGCTTCTCGCGCATGCTCAGTGGGCACCCGGCTTTCACTGAAGCCGCTGCGGGAAGAAGGAAGGACAACTCTGCAGAAGTGGGAGCGGGTACCTGTCAAATTCAGGTACCCGTTCCCCCTCCCTCCCCAAAGGTCCGCAGTCTCTGGTAATCTCCTTTACTGTCTGCAGTCTCTGGTAATCTCCTTTACTGTCTGCAGTCTCTGGTAATCTCCTTTACTGTCTGCAGTCTCTGGTCATCCCCTGCACTGTCTGCAGTCTCTGGTCTTCTGTACTATGTCCGCAGTCTCTGGTCATCCCCTGTACTGTGTCCGCAGTCTCTGGTCATCCCCTGTACTGTGTCCGCAGTCTCTGGCCATCTCCTGTACTGTGTTTGCAGTCTCTGGTCATCCCCTGTACTGTGTCCGCAGTCTCTGGTCATCCCCTGTACTGTGTCCGCAGTCTCTGGCCATCTCCTGTACTGTGTCCGCAGTCTCTGGTCATCCCCTGTACTGTGTCCGCAGTCTCTGGTCATCCCCTGTACTGTGTCCGCAGTCTCTGGCCATCTCCTGTACTGTGTTTGCAGTTTCTGGTCATCCCCTGTACTGTGTCCGCAGTCTCTGGTCATCCCCTGTACTGTGTCTGCAGTCTCTGGCCATCTCCTGTACTGTGTTCATAGTCTCTGGTCATCTCCTGTACTGTGTTCGCAGTCTCTGGCCATCCCCTGTACTGTGTCCGCAGTCTCTGGTCATTCCCTGTACTATGTCTGCAGTCTCTGGTCATCTCCTGTACTGTGTCTGCAGTCTCTGGTCATCCCCTGTGTCTGCAGTCCATTGGTTCAGAATATTTTTTTTTCTTGTTTTTCTCCTCTAAAACCTAGGTGTGTCTTATGGTCAGGTGCATCTTATGGAGCGAAAAATACGGTAGATCCGATAAACAGGCTATGTTGGTTGTCAATGAGGAACAGCATTAAAAACTGCCCTATAGTAATACTCTACGGGTATAAATTTCCATTAACTACATTGAATAGAACTAATTTCAGAAAGGTGACTTTTGATTCTGACAAAAAAAAATCAAACCTTTCAGATCAAGAATCAGAATCAAATCTTTGATTCTGACAAAATATGTCCCTGAAACCTTTTAACACTTTTCCATTCTAAGCTGTGCAGTCTTGCCACACAACTAATTGGTGCTCCTCTAGTTTGTGTGAAAAGAAGCTTTCCACTGACGTCCATGGCCTAAACCTTCACACAGTCCTAAAATCCCTGTGCCAAGATCTTGCTTGTAGTGTTACCTGATGTCATGGTGGCTGCTTAAATTGCAGTACACTCAACAATTAATATTATATTATCACATTTTAGGTGGCACTTTCATAAAAAGTACTTTATATGTACACGTTACCTTAAATGTCACATGATATCAAATGATCCTACAAGCAACTTATTAGAAACTAAATAATAAAGTTAATAAAGTGCTACAGAACAAGCATTAAACGTTTTGGCATAGACCTTCATCACCAAAAGCTCCCAAAGTTACTCTGCGAACAATGAATTTTCCGATCATCTGTATTTACAAAGAATTATGCAATTAGGAGAAGCACATTATAGGAAGTACTTTATATGAAAGTGATGGAATCCTAAAGATAACAATACAATATTACTTGCTGAGTGTGCTACAATATAATCAACCTCCATGATGTCAGATAACACTAAAAGAACATCTTACAGACTAAACGATAAAGTTAGTGCTACAGCATCATAAAAAAAAAAGCTCCCAAAATTACTAATCAAATATTGGTTTTCTGAATATCTGTATTTAGGCATCTCAACATGATTCATTCACCAAGAACTGCTTTGCCTTAAAGAATACAGTATGTTACCCAGCATTTTATATTCCTGATATAGGTATGTATCTGTTGTACCATGTACTTGTATTAAAAAGTATTTTGCTCTCTTTGTATTGCGTCCTTTGTGAGAAGTACCTGTTGACCCTGTCAGCCCCCTCAATTTCCTATTTCAAATTAACCACGCTAGGCAGGAGAGCACATCCATTCTAGTGTAGTCAGTTGGTGTGCAGCAAGAACAGCCTTCCTGTCCACCAATGGTCAGACCCCCACGGCCATTCACTTGGAAAATCAGTGTACTGCTGTTTCTCCACCCCCATCACTCTAAGTGCCTTATGCAAATGAGATCAGCTGAGAATAGAGGTTAAGTGATCACTTAAAAAATTTTTTTTTAATATAAGTACACAAACTGCATGGGTTGTTTTCACAAGGTAGGAGTTCACATTTACTTTCAGCACAGATAAATCCATTTGTATTATTCAAGCATTTGTAAACCAGGTGTCATTCCCCCTCAAGTAAAGTAAAATGGAGATATGAACAAAAAAAATTAAAGCAATCTCATTTAACTGTCAACTCAAAATACTGCTTGATTAAAACAAAGACAAGTAAAAAATAATGAAAATAGTTTGAAGTTACATCTTTTACCAGATCATCCAGGTAAATAATCATACCATTAAAGCCTAACTCCTCACAGATGTCCAGCAGGACATTTCCAAACATATCATTAACTCTTTGGTTACCAAGGTGTGCTATATCACCTAAAAATACAGTACATCGGTCATAAACAACCCTGAGCCTGGGTTCACACTTGCACCGCATTCCTGCACATTCCTGCGCAAATCACATGCAAATTCTGTGCGATTTGAGCCATACATTTTGTATGGCTCAAATTGCGCTGCATCTGCATCAAAAAGGTGCAGGAACCTTTTTTTGGTCCGCACTAGAATTGAATCGCATGGCTGTTCACACCCATGCGATCTGATTCTGCACATCGCACCGCATTTTGTGGACTGATTTCAGGGTGTTGTTAATTCAACATACACACCAGCAGCCATTCGCATGAATGGGGTGCGATTGTGATGTGGTGCAGAATTTGCACAGAAACCGCTGTGAATTCCGCACCCCATCAGTGTAAACCCAGGCTCAAAGATGATTTATCATAGGTCAGGGGGATAACCTCAGAACTTGTTTTTTGTATAAAAGTATTTCAAAATGTAAGTAGGTAAACGTGTATTTATAGTTTACATCTTGCAGCAAGTAGGTATAGTGAACTTTGGTTAGGTGAAACATTTTACACAATAACCATCTTCTGTTCTGAAATACAACTAAAGGTCTGAAGAAGTCAGAGTGTTGACTCACCCAGGAAAGACACACCTGCCCCCTTCCTTCTTTGTAGAATTTACTTCTTCAGTCTTTTATATACAAAGGGGCTTCCAGGTACGCAGTCATTGCTGGGCTTTCTGATTCGTAATCACAGCATGCTTTGCAAACTGTCATCCTCTATGAAATGTTTGTAAACTACAATGCTATCAAAAGTAATCAAATGACATCATACTTCAGTTTAAAACATTTTAAACTTAAAAAATGGATATCATTTGGATAATGGATATCATTGATATCAAATGGATATCAAAATCTTAACTGCTGAGCCTTAACTCCATAAGTGTCATGGTTGGCCACTTGAAAAAGCAACATCTCTTATAAAAAGTCCACAGATACCTAAACAAATTAGTCAAAGCCAATTCTCTATTTAACCAAACTATATTGCACAATTGTTTTATTTTTTTCTAACAAAGAATATGTAAACTGTAGTTTCCCAGCCTTGCAACCCACAGGACATGATCATGCTGTCATAAAGGAAAGACATTTTCTGTCATGGTGTGATTATTGCTTACAAACTACTCTAGTGTGTTGAATATGGTGTGATTTTACAGACTAATTAAACGCTTAGCCTAACTTATAACGATCTAAATGATTAGTGAGTGGAACACATTAAAGTGATTATGCTGGATGTCCAGAGAGCTGTGAGAAAATGTGGGAGCAACTCTTTACCTTAGCTCTTAAATCAGATTCAGCACAGAAAGGACAGAGAATGGAGGTTATCACGGGTTAGCAATGATCAAGAGACATAACTTAGATCAAGAACATGAATAAGAAGAATAAGAATAAAGACTAAACACTTATACTAAATAAATGACATGTGACACATCACTTAGCAAGGATTGCTTATGTCTGCCAATAAACAATGGAGGTTATTTACTAAAGGCAAAAAGCTTCAAGCTTCACTTAGTTTAGTGCCTGATGTGAAGCTCTGCAGATTTCCATCATCAAGTACAAGCAAAAATATTTATTTTTCTTCCATGTGAATGGGTATTTTTTTGCAACACGAATTTTCACCATATTCACTCAAGTATTTTCACCGTATTCATTCACAAGTCAAGGAAAGTTTATTGTGCAAAGTGAAAAGCCTATTTGCCTTTAGTACATTCAAAATCAACCCCAGTGTGTATTGCCGTGCATAAATGTACCTGAAAGGTAGTTCATATACAAAGACATGTATCATCCAAATCAATTGTTAAAGGCAATGACCAGTACGGGTTTGAATTTTCAATGTTCTATTGTCAAATTCACCAGCTTGGAGGTATCTCTACTCTGCTTCTTTTTTTACATTCACTGTAACTAAAATGCTAAAAAAAAAAGAAAGGTCATCACCCACTTAAAGTGGACCCATGGACAAAATAAAATTAAAATATATGATGCTGTTTATTCCTAGCATTAACAGTTCTTTACTGAACCGGATTAAACAGACTAAAATAAGATCAGTTTAACTTCTGATTTTCTAACAGCTGCACTTTTTGTTAGATAGTATTTGTAACAGCTGCACTTTCTGTTAGACAGTAATAGCATCTCACTTAGTGCCTTCATGGTGGCCTTCAATTGCTCTTTAAATATTTAGTACACAATTTCACAGTACACCTGTATGTCTAAATGATTTTTTGTTGTATACTTGAGACTATAGAACACTGGCAAGCCATTTTTGATACCATGGGTTTTTTTTTTAGGATTTTTCCAGAATAAATTCTTCTATAAGAATTTCAATTGCAGGGTGGATATCTTATATACCCATATATTAAACAGTGCATTGTAACTCTTGCAGCAATTTACTTCTTAGAATCTGCATTAGATTTTGTGTAAAAGGTGTTGACTGATGGGAGGCACAAATTAGTTCATGCTGACAGACTGCGCCTGTTCTAAATTTTTGCCAGCCATAGTTAATAAACATGACCAGTACAGAGTGCTTCATACAGATTTATTGTGATAGTTTTTAGAGTACGTATTTAGAAATGAGCTCTTGGTTCAATACATACGGACACTGTGAATTATTACATGTTATTTTTCTATTTCTTTTTGTAAATTAAGCCTTCTGTTACAGACATGTGTTAACAATGTGTGGTTGATCTACTAAAGGAGTAGAGTCCATTCACCAGCAAAGACTGAGTAAGGACAGTGAAGCTGTGTAAAATTCCAAATAAATGTTTAGTGGATATTGACTTTAACAAGTGAACAAGTCTCAATAAATGAATTCATATGATTAGGCAAATGCAATTAGCCTAACACCATCAGTTTTACCATGCTGGGTCTCAGCTACACAGTAAAGTAAGATGATAAGTAGAGTAGTGGATTTATGACCAAGATCAAGATAGAAGCATTCCTTTAAAAAAATGTGGCTGCCAAAATGGGCATTGCATATAAAAAGAAATTTCATTAATTCACTGAAACATGTAATCACGCATTAAAGAGTACGTTACCACAACATTTC